GTTTTGTTTTTTTTTTTGTTTGTTCAATCATTTATCATAAAAAAATATCACGATTATTGAATACCTCGATTAAAATAAGATTTTTGTTTTTTTTTTTTATTATTATTATTATTATTATGGGATATTTCCCGAGGAAAATTCGTTTATGTGTTTTAATATTGAAAATTATTTATTAAATTATAAAACCCCATGCGAACCACCACCCATTCCCTCCCCATTGCGATATCACGATTTTCTTGTTCTACGATTAGTCCAATCCGATTATATTGCAAAAAAAAAACTAAAACGACATATTAATCGAAATAAAATGAATTTGTTGAATTTCTCGAACTTTGTCTCGAATACTATATATGATAGACGACGAGAGCAGGATATGACGATACGGGGCGTGGGGGAAAAAAGAAATAAAACAAATATCGTAATATCGATTTCTCTGTACATAGCCAAACTATCGGTCGACCAACGAGATTGCAATACGATTCAAGAGGTACAATATGATTGACTTAAGTGATAGCTCCATTTCTAACAATATCTATAACAATATTTTCTAAACCATAGAACTTGGCTAAATCAAATCGATGAACCACCATAAAATTTTCTATAGTTACCAACCGTGAAATTAATGTTCCGATATAGAAAACAAAAAAAAAAAAAGAAAATTAATATAAAACGAAACACACCAAAATCTATATACATATTTAATTATCTTTTTATTTGGGCCGCGTGATATGAAAAATAATTTGAAGATACATATAATAAACATTAATTATTTTTCCCTATCTCGTGTCATCCATCTTCCGTCACTTTCTAGAAAAAAAAAAAAAAAAAAAAAAAAAAAGAAGATTAGGACAACGGGAAATGGAGAAATAAATTCAATTGCGTTTTCGTATGGAAAAATTTGATTTTAAAAATGATGAAAAAAAAAAAAAGAAATAAAAAGGAAAGAAAAAAAAAATAGAAAAGTGATAAAAAATTGTTTCCCATCGGCACACGTAATAGTTAGTTCGACATTAAATTTCATCTCGCGATCGTTGAACCCACCTACTACGACGACGACGACGACGAGGATTAAATTGAGGGGCAATTAATGTAAAATCGTTCCCCCAAAATTGCTTCCCCATGATTACAACGCGAGAGTACCCCCCGCACCCATTCGAAATGTTCGACAACGGGAACGTCTATCGTCTACTTCCTGTTTCACGCACACGCACGCAAGCACGTTCATACATCTACTTATCTATCTATCTATAATACATAGACAAGTTCTCTACGCATAAGTTAGCAAGTACTTAGCGAAATTATTATAAATGCGCATCGATAAATCTACGATAATTTGCGTTAAAGTTTCTTCTTATGCGATTGTTGAATACGTCATTTCTATTTTTACATGCTAATGTGATAATAATAATAATAATAATAATAATCTTACGAGTAATTCTATTTTCGTATATCTATCTAAGAAATGTATTTATTATTTACTCGATAGTGTGTGTATTTTCATCGAATAATTATAATTTAACGAAAATAATTTTCATGGATTAAATATAATCTCATAGTTAGTGTTTTAATGTGTGTGTGTGTGTGTGTGGGAAGGGGTTGGGTGGAGTATTCTTCATTTTTTATTAAAAATAATATTTTCCTCTTTGATAAATCGAGAGATTTTTTTTTATATATATATATAAAAAAAAACATAACTTTGAAATGTTATATTCTTATTTTTGGGAATGGTAGAACTAGAGAAGCTTTTTTTCTTTTTGTTTTTTTTTTAAAGTGTGACCTATCACGTGACAAAAGGAACGTTTCATATTCTAGCTTGCGTATAAAAGTTTCTTCTCTTGAAAATGGCAAAGAGAGAGAAAGAGAGAGAGAGAGAGACGTTTCAAATCGAAATCTGTAGAAACTTTTAGAAGAAAAATCTAATCGTAAATGTTACTCGGCGCGGGGCGTAAATGTTTAAACATTTTGCGATACACATTTATATTTAAATTAATTGAAAAATCTATACTTTCCTATCGGTTTCTTTGTACGAAACAATTGATTTTTCTTTGACATTATCGATGCATGTTGTTTCCGATTTCACAATTCGCCACATTATCTTATATAATTTTAATTATATTATATATTTTTCTTAATCACAAGAAATTTGTCCAGATCGAAATAAAGTAAGTTGTAAGTTTCATAAATAATTACCATTTAAAAGAAGATTATCTTAATGAAAAATCATTGAAACACATTGACGCAATTCTGACGCAATTCTGACGCAACCCTGACGCAACCTTGGCGCAATTCTAATGCAAGTTTTTTCTTAATTCGAATATAAAATTCGTTACATTGCAATATTATATTAATCATGGATAACATAGGAATGCAAACACGATAGCACGTGAATAAAATAAAAAAAAAAGTAAATGTGTGAATAAAAAGAAAAAAGTATAGTTTACTGACGTAAAACCTGTCGCAAATTGTCAAACGATTGACAAATTTATAAACTTAGAAAAGAAAACAAACGAATACGTTTCTCTCTTGGGAAAAATCAAATCAAATCAAAAATGTTTCTATAAGTTAAACGAAAAACTTTTGCGAAAACCAACTACCTGTATAATGTAACGTGAAATAAATCGATAAACGTGAAATTTTGATCGATAATACGTGTATACAAATTAAAACGTATATTCTTAACACTGGCAAACAAATAACAAAATTAAAAACATATTATAATTAGTATTAGCCAGTGCTTACCTAATTATTCTAGAAGACAGATCTACAACGATTTCCTACCCTTACTTTCTCAGGTGGACAATGTAAGGGCACGTTGATGATAGATGTCATTTTGATAGCATCATCGAAACGTATAAAACGTTTCAATTCTTTTGGTTTTTCCGTCAAACTAATAAGTTTATCTTTGCTCATTGGTATAGATGTGCAACCAATGATCAGTACAAATATGTAGAACAATAATACGATTAAATCGACTTTGTTGTTTAGCTTCATATTCCTTTCGTAATATTTGCACTTAAACTGATTCGTATTCTTTCTAATACGAATTAGATCCTCTTCTTCTAATAATTTTCTTCTCTTTATCCCCTCTCTTTTGTTTTTCTCATAACCATAACATCCGCAGGCACACATACGCGCGAACCACGGAACTATGCAAACAACTTTTTATTTATAACGTTTATGTATGTATGTGTGAGACAATAAACGTGTATGCTGCTGCTATTAATATTCCTCTTCGTAAAAATGATATCGATAAAGAACGATTCAATCTAAACCGATTGAATTCTAATCTGTAACTCTCGTATAAAACGATCACGTGGAAATTAGATCGATCAATCGTTTCTATTATCTTACGATGACGATGACGATGAATTTTATTCAACGAATATTCTATTTCGAATAACACGAGAATAATAATTAACACTCTTCGAAAAATTTCAACGTGTTATAATGTGATCGATCAAACTTTTGTATTTTTCCACAATTATTTTCCACAATTACTAAATTCTCTTATAATCTTTCTAAACACTATACGCAAAAATGTAAATAATTGTATATAAAATATTAAACAACGAAATATTGCGTTTATATCGATTCGTAGTAGTTACGAAATAAAAGAGTTCGTTTATAAAGACATAAATAAAAATTGTTCTTTTGGAAAATGGTATAAAAAACGTTAAAGAATAAATAATGTATATTAATCGAGAGAGAGAAAAACGGAGAACAACGCGCTTTACTCGTCTTCGAGTTACTGACTATCGGAAGAAAAAAATGCTTATCAAGCATGTCTAAACGTTTTGAAGGCCAAGAAGTCGTACCGATTGACGATGATACACGCATACACATTAACATATACACATACATATAAAACATACTTATAAAATATTCTCTTCTCACGCTTATATCACGCGGTTTAAAAACATGGAACATATTTCGGTATCGCGTGATATCCTGCAACATAAAAACGTTACGAATTTTCATATATATATATA